AAGTCAAGATTGAATCTTGACATCAGTTCTTTGAGAAAGGATTGAAAGGAAGCTGTACTCACGTACCATCTTGCTGATCCTTGCGAAGGACAGAGTTCTTGGAGAAGAACACTGCTGATTCTGTTCCACCTGCACTGCGCCATCTTCAGTGGGAGCAGTCTTTGGTTCCTTCCTTGGGCGTGAACACCTTCGTTGGGAGATATTACTTCTTCGTATCAGGTATAATTCTCTCCTGTTCCTTTTGGTTCAGATCTGATTCAGTTTAAGGTTCAAGAATGATCCTTGAAAATATGATTTTCTAAATAGGGAATGTGATTCCCAATTGAAGGGAGAGAAAAATTTTTGAAATTCGCCCCTTAATCCGCAATCTTTGGGCGTCCATGGGATGGATCTCTCATCTCTTCAGTAGTAGCCCAATACGAGAGTGGTTCAGGCTCAATTTCTTTCGGGGAAAAACAGAAATGGTTGCAAGAAATTCTTAAATCTGGAGGAACATGTTTTCAATTTCTCCTAAGACTAATTTTGAGGTGATATTATCGGGTCTTAGGTACTGATTTCCCTAAGACCCTCACCTCTCTACCTTTATTCTCAGTCAAGAAGAAATTGCAAATGATGGTTCTCCAACATTTTAGAACCTCAAGTAACTCAGAAAAAAACTAAGAAAAGACTTACCTTTTGTATGTACCTTGTCAAAAGTTTTCTAGCAGCTATGAGGAATTCAAACAAAAATTGAGCAAGGCAGGAACTGGGCTGAGCGTTTCTGGTGTTAAGTTTTGAAGATAGGGGATGAAGCTCAAATTCATTAGTCTAGGTTTTCTAAATGGGTCAAGAAGGGGTCTGACATTAGCCATCAACCTTTTGAGGCTTCAGGTTGGGACAGGTGATGTGACAACTTGATATGGTGCGTCAAAATGGTATATTTTTAGTTTAACGGTCAAATTGGTGAATTAGGATGCGAAATTTGACGTGCTGGGGTTTTTTAGGTCTCTGAACACAATGGTGATGTCTGGTTGAACAAAAAGGGTCAGAATGATGGAGATCCATGGCTGACAAGTTCAAATCAACGAGATTTGCTAAAATATAATCTTTGTTTGATGAATGGGCCAAATGGAGGAATTTTGGGATGAAATTTGGTGGGTTGGCACTATTGAATGTTTTGAATATGATGGAAGCAATGGATCATTGATCAGAGGTGTAGATTGACTAATTTAGTTCAGATTATGGTCTTTCAATCAACGAGAAAGTCCGAAATGGAATCTTACTTTTTTAACAATTAAATGGTGGTATTTGGTTGTGGAATTTGACATGGTGGGTTTTTTTGGGTGTACGAACATTGTGGTAAAGTTTGATTGGTCATATGAAGTTGGGATGATAGATGGTAAGCTCTAATTAATGAGATTTGATAAAATAGGATTTAGGCTTGATGGAGGGTCAAACGAGGGAATTTTGATCTACAATTTGGTAACTAAGCATGGATTAGGATGAGGGATCAAGTGGATGGTTCTGATATGAGAAAGATAAGGTCAAATTTGGTAATCATTCAGGCCCATCAAAATGGAATCTTGATGTTTTTACGGTTGATTGTCGTAAATTTGTGGTGGGATTCATTAGTTGATTGTTTCCTAATGATCTGGAGGTGATGGATATGTTGGATTTGATTTTGGGGAGTTGGAGTTTGAATATCGCATGGATCGGGAACGTTAGGAATAAAGTTGGCATAATGAATGGTGGTTTGCAATTTAATCATGAAAATTGATATATAACTAAGTCATAGTTTTCCAAGTATAGGGATGATGTCTGATCAAGGTTTTTGTTTGTCGTAAGGATTGTGTCAAGGGAGGAGATTTTCAGGTTTTGGAATGTCTCAAGTTAATATGGTTGTGTTTCTAAGTTTTTGGGGTCTAAGAGGGGGATACAAAGAGGTAGGGTGAAGGACCGAGCAAAAATTGGGTGCTAACAAGTAGTTGTCCAACTTAGGTCCAAATTGCATTGAAATTTGATGCACTTAGGTTAGTCTTGGACTTGTTTGTGTCAATTAGCCCCATAGCAAAATTTTGACATAAAATGTATATATATGTAATTGCATACTCATGTATATATGCAAATATGTGCTATATATGTATTTACGATTGTATGTGTATAGTCATTGCCTAAGTGCCTAACTTTAGCTACCTAAAGGCTAGGCTTGGGCCCAACCTACAAATTTTAAAAACCAAAACTTTTGAGCCTAGGCCCAGGCTTAAGTCAATGACTAAAAGTTGAAGCTAACCTATCAAATTACGATATAGGCCAATTCCAACTCGAGTTTAAGTCCACCTAATTTGCCTCTCTATTGATCATTGATCATCAATTAGATGCAAAAATAGTTTTATTTTTTGTGTTAATTTACTTTTTATTTTTATTTATAGCATTTGTAACAATAACTTTTATCTATCACACTTATTTTTGTTTAATATGATGAATACATAATATTAGAGATGCACCCAAATGTTTTTTCTCACAAAATTACTATGTTTTTAATAACTTTGTGTCTCTATTTTTTAAATATTATTTATTTATTAAATCATGGGTTGATCCATTTACCTAAAAGGTTGAACCATCGACCCACTACTTAAATAGGAAAATGGTTTCGCTTTTTGGGTCAATTTTAAATATTGTATTTCATTTCCATCGAATAAAAATACTTTTATTTAGCATGCTTATTGTTATTTGATATGATAAATATATAACATTAGATTTGTGCCTAAAAACTTCACAAGTTTTTATAATTTTTGTAATATTTATATTTATTTTTAAATTTATATTGTTTAGCTACATGAACATTGATTAACTCGTTTTAAGGAGATGGTTGAACTATTTACTTGCCACTTCAAACAAAATGGTGGTTTGTTTAATTGTTTTCCATGTTGGGTTTGAACATATGTTTTACATTATTAAAAATATTGAATGTATATTTAATTTATAGAATTTATTGGCAAGAAACAAAAATACTTCAAACAAAGTATCCAAGGAGATAGAACAAGAGTTAATGCCTTAATGAGAGAGAATTTAATGAAGTAAAAAATAATAGTATTTTAAATTTCATTTTTTATCCACGTAATTACAGACGGACTAAATTCATAAATAGGGGTATTTTAGTCAAGAAAAGTCTACAAAACTTATATTTTTAATGTGCCTTAAATACAATAAATTTAATAAAAGTAGTAGTTCAAGTTATGTTTTTTGCCCTTATAATAAAGGGATAACAAGTTTAAAAAACAAAGGGTATTTTAGTAAAAAAAACAAAATATAAACCTCATTCATATGATATTGTAAAAAACTTGAAACCAATGAACTAGTATCATAAAAGTGCTAACAAATCATATGAAAATTTAAAGGGGCAGAATTGGTTAAAGCCTTTTTAGATGTTATGTCTTTCCAACATCAAATCCCATACATCAACGTAAAGATCATATACGGCTACATTTGGCTTTATATATATAAAATAAGAGCGAATCAGAAAGTGAAAGAAAAGTTCTCAAATGATTTCATAAGGGTTAGTATGATGTTGGAAAGATATGATACCGGAGAAACTTATAGCCAATCAACTAACATCTTAAAAGTGACAACCAATCAGGTGAGTTTTTATAAAAATTCATGAGTGATTTTGATTTGTCAAAGCCTTTCAAGTATCATGTCTTTCCATAATCATACATTTTGTCCATTTTACAAATCTTGCTAATTAATAAAACTTTCACCTTCTCTCATATTTACTATCAAAATCAAATTAAACACAGCTTAAAGGAAAAAAAATGAGATTCTTAACTATAATAATTGATATTGGGTTTTAAGTTAGTCACGTGCAACCTGCATGTCATTTAGATTGATATTTCTCTCGAAAAGGGGTGTAAATCGAGTAATGCCGCTTGCGATATGGCACAATGGTCCACAGGCCGTGTGGCAACACGGCATGATTGTATGGGCAGTGCTAGGCTTGAGGTTTTAGGTCGGCGGGCCAGGTATGACACGACCTATATATATATTTATATATATAATAATATAATATATTATATAAATTATAATTATATAATAATATATAATATATTATGATGAGGGGTGATTTGGCCCGACCTAATGAATAGGAGACACGTGGATGCGACCTTCCAGCCAAGTAGTGACTCAACATTTCTTGCCACCTCGACAGACCGAGCCACCTCGGGCACTTCAGTCACTTCGAACAGGACCAAAGTTAGGGGACCTCGGCAGCCGCATGGTGGGTTCTAAAAGATCGCCAGCTATCCCCAAGCCTTTCGGGATCATATCGTGCAACTGTAGGACCTATCCTCATCCCGCCCGAATCGGATGGAAGCGATAAGCCTTATCAACTAGCACATTGGCCACCTTCCGAAACGGAACAGACTCCTACCACTCGCTCCAAAGATCCCGGGGCGGCTCCTTCAAGCTTACGGTGGTTCAACTATATAAAGGCATTGAATCCCCTAGCACAAGGTACGCACGATTACTTGCTTACTAGCTCTCTTATACTAAAGCTTTCAGCTCGTAACCAAGACCATATTACTAACTTAAGAATCGGAGCGATCTCGCCATGTTAGCCACCCCGAGTTCTTTAGTCATTCTTCTTGTAGTTCGAACCAGTTCGCTACGCGACCAACCTCCAAGTAACCTTCCAGCTAGGAGCTCTCAGATCACATACCATCATATTATATAAATTATAATAATATATAATATATAATATTTTAATAAAATAAATAATTATTTTCAATTTTATTATACTATTTTATTTAATTATGTATATAAGTAATTGTATACATTAAAATTTATATAAAATTAAAATTTTAAGTTTTTCCTCATAATAGTTTTGACTCGATCTACAGCCTTGCCTGGCCCAAAGCTCGGCCCTCGGCCCGAATGGGCTGGTCCGTGGGCCGTGCCGGGCCAACCCCCAAAATAACCCAAGAGGCCAAGAGTGGGAGGCACGGCCCGTTTTACACCTGAGTCGAATAGCCAAATTAGGGCGCCGATGCATTCCTCCATTGGGGAAAAAACTTATTGCCGCAACCAAACATGGGTGGCGGTAGCCTGGGCACTGGTGGGATAGGCCGATAGGGTATTGCAAACTTTCACCGGCAAAAACTCGCTCACCATCCTGCCGTCTTCGAGCCACAGTCACGCTCTCGATTTGCAAATGGCGGAGAAGAAGAGAAAGGTGAGAGAAGAGAGCCAGAAGAAGACAGGGAGAGGCGAGAAGAAGAGAAAACAGCTACTCTCCAGAATACTAACCACAGAAAACCATAAGAAGAAGAAGAATATTATAAAGAAGAAAAGCAACCACAAGGGCGATCGTCGGAAGACCGGTCCTCGTCTCCCTAATGCGCTTCGTAAAGCTATCGATCTCTTAAACCCTAAACCCAGAGAAAGTGACGAAGAGATTGATTCAGACGCTGAGGTTCAGGTTAAAGATGTGTACGAGTACGAAGAGCGGATGCCGGAGGAGGAGTCAAAGAAGAACCGACGATTTGACCATGTCGATAACCTCGAGTACGAGCTTCCTGAAGAATTTGAGGTCTGTTGGGCTTTCGTGCTTTCTTCCTCTCTAGTCCTTATTATTTTCATAATTTCATCTCGATTTTGTTGTTCGTCTGATAAGTTTTTTTTTTCCTGGATTGCAATTCCGAGATCTGAGTTTTGTTAGTTACTCTGATTTTCTTCCTTATTAGTGTAAAATGCGATTTCTTCTGTGGCATTTTCTTCGATTTTTTAATTTCCTCCACTCACATGACATGCAAGTTTATAGGAGATAAAAAGACAGAATACCATCCTGTCTTCTTAAATCAAACAAAGTCAGTTAAAGCTTAGGAGATGAAACTAAATAGGCAATGAGCTGACTATAATGCTTTTCAACATAAAAGCGTTACACTTTTTTTTTTTTTGAAGAGGTAAAGTATGAATAACGACGAAGAAAATAAATTATGAACAAAAAGTCATTCACTTCCAAAATGTCCAGTCTCATTCAGTATCTATCAAGAAAAAAATTATAGTCTCGTGTAAGCAAGATCCAATTGATTTTAGGTTCTTTTATAATTAATAAAAGATCCATCAAGCTTAGCCTTAGAATGATAATAGATGTAAAGAAGGGAGAGGTAAGAGAGATGTTTCTGCTGGAGTCTTTCTAATTTCATTGAGAAAGTGAGATAGTCTCTTTTTGTTTACCCTCAGTGCTTTAGCTCATCCATTTTTCTTGCTATTTCACCTTCGGTAGCCTAGGAAAGGATGCAGTATTGCTTATCAATTCGATTACCCACGGGAAGGCAAAGTATATTTGCTATGGTGAGGTCTGCATTTTCATATGTTTCCTGAAAGCCCAAAACACACTGCCATCCTACTTGAGGAAACCCCACCTATCTTGGCCAGCTTGGGTTAGTGAGAAAGTTCACCAAACTGTTACTTGCCCTCAAGGATTTACATACCGACACGATACACCCAATACGGGGGGCGTATCGTATCGGTATCGGCCTATGGCAGTATGGGATACGCTACAAACAAAAGCGTATCCCGTGAGTCGTATGTATCGTAGCGATACAGATGCATATCGGCCGATACACACCGACACAGGCCTCTACACATCAATACGTAGTGTTTCTCTATAAAAAAGTGTAGGTGTGGTGATTTGAACTCAGATCACCAAAGCGCGCCCAAAGCCTTGCACCTTAAATGCAATTCTAAGCCACTAAACCACGTTTATCCTTGTGATAATAAACAAAATAAAATAAAATTTATTAACTTTTGTCTCTACATGCGATTTCAACAAAAAAGTACATGTTTATATTTAACAAGTCTAACTAAAATTTCAAAACGAATACAAAAAAAAACTAAGATTTCAAAAGAATATTATTCAAAAATAGTATCTTATAAACTAATACAATAAATAATCTATCAAATCCATGATTATATAAAAAGTTGATTTTTAATATCAAGAAAATTATACAAATAAAATATTAAGAATAGAGTAATAATTTTAATACATAAAATTTATAAATTTGCAAATGATATGCATATTAAAATTTTTTATATATTTTTATAAATTATTAATTAATACTTTAATTTATATTAGTAAGTAATAACAACATATTTATTATTTATAAAAAAAGATAAATATTTTTTATAAAATATTTAAGAATATAACATTAAATTGAATTTATCAAATCCATTCATCTACATCTATTTCAAAAAAAATATTTTTCATATTAGAAAAATTATATAAATAAAATACTAATAAAGGAATAATTATTTTAGTAACTAAAAATTATGAATTTTTATATGATATGTATATTATAAATTTTAACAAATTTGATATACTTTAAGTTTAGATTATATTTTTATAAATTATTAATTAATATTTTAATTTGTATTGGAGAATTTAATATTTAGTTGACTTTTTGGTAATGTTAAAAATTTTAAAAAGTAAAATAAAAATAATTTTTATAATAATTAAAATATAATAGGTGCATATGTTTAGTGCCTTGGACATTATAAATAAAACTAGTAAATGTGCATGTGACAATTTTAAATGATAACAACAACAATAATTATATATATATATATATATATATATATATATATTGGTGATTTATTGCCTTTCAACTTAAAGACTTGTATCAAATCTTCTTACTCTATAGCTTATATCTATATTTTCAATTTATTGTGTTAATTGAACCATTACTTGCCTAAAGACTGATTAGACAAATTGAATGGTTAATTGACCAGGATTTTAGGTTCATTTTCTACCAAATTGCTTATTTGTAAAAAAAGCATTAACTTGACCAACAACATGGTGACTTAGCTAATCATTCGATTTGTTTATTAGGGTGATGGAATAGACATTAATTTTCTGTTTTTTTTCATAATTTTTTTATTCCATTTCCATCATTTAACAAACATGATAGTGGTTTCATTGCTAAGGAAGTTTTGAATTTTGTATTTTTTTTATTTATCATACTTAAAAATCGGTTTTGTTTCCAAGTTGATTTTGAATACATAAGTTTTTATACTATTAAAATTGTTATTCGCAAATTTAATTAGTGAAATTTTATGACGAGAAACAAAAAATATAATTAAACATATGATTTTATGAGAGATAATAGAAATTAACCTTAAATATGAGACTTAATGAGAGAGAATAGAATGAAATGAAAAATAGTATTCAATTTACAATTTATATCTTCATAATAGAGAGAGAGGGGTATTTTAAGTCAAGAAAAAAGTACGAAAGCCTTTAAAGATCTATTGCCACTTCTTATAGATTCTAAGTAATTTGTAATTCATCTACAAATCAACATGTAGATCCAAGTGTCTAGAGTAATTAAATGTGTCCAGCTAAATACTCCATGCAATTTCAATCACAACTCATTAAGTTTTGTAATTTATAGATGCCAATTTAGATACATTGTGCGTTATAAAAAAAACAGACATGTTGTGTAGTTATTTAAGAAGCATAATAGAATTCCATTTTTATCCTCTTATATAATTCAACAAGAAATTAACAATGGAGGACTCAATTTGTTCTATTTTGATCTCATTTTTAATAATCAACCAAACACTTGATTTGTCCTCAAATTCAAATACAAAAGCATTGACACAAAGGAAAAAAATACTTCTTATAGATTTTCTAGAAACTCTAGGGCTTTTTAGTGATTTTCCCAAAAATAAAAGTCATTAATTTGTAAAGCCTTTTCTAACTTGTCTTACAATTGCTCCCTTGCTTTCTCTTAGGCCATAAAATAATTGACTTTGAATTTTATCAAATTTTTTGGGGATATATTCATTTGAAATAGATGAATTACATTTTATTTATTTTTCTTTTTTGCTCCATGGGGCTACATATCAGGGGTGTCCAATTCCCCAAACCTATAACCCCCAACCTAGGTGCAGGTGGGATTTGATCCAAGAGACCTTATTGACTGGCTAGTTGGCGCCTTGTAAATAGAAGAACTACATTCAAAAATTATTTGATAAGGATCACTCTTTCATCTTTAAAAACAATTTTCAATTTCCAACCCTAAATTTTCTTCTTAATTTTATTTGTGATGTTCAAAGCCTTCTTATCAATTATGCCTTGAATAATTGGGGCACCCATGTATTTTTCATTGTTTGTTGATTAGATGCTCATAATCCTAGAAATCAATTTTTAAACCCTTTGATTTTTTTTTGGAAAAAAAAATTGACTTTTTGAAATGGATATTTTGGATGAGACACTCTCAAGCATCTTGAGATTGAAAAGAAACTACTTATAAACCAATGGAAAAGCTAACCCAAAAACCATAATCAAAATCGTGGAACCACACTCCAAATCCACATTTTAAAATCATTAAATAGTGACAATTGAACCTACTTTTAAAGATGATCAAATAACAATGATTTTGTTCAATATTAATTAAGAGAGAGAGTGAGAGATACATCTAGCTAAACACTTCATGAAATTCCAGTTATAATTCATTTTTAATTAAAAGATAGATAAATACATCCAGCTAAACACTTCATGAAATTTTAGTTACAATTCATTTAATTAAAACAATCAACAAAATATCAAATTTGTCCTCAACAAAGGGGCAATATTTGTCCAAGTAAAATTCCAGAAATTTTTAGGGGCTATTCATACTTTTTAAAGTAGTATGGATTATATGATATCTATGCATCCTGATATTATTAATTATAACATATTTCTTCATATATATCACTAAAGTATACATTTCCTATGTATTTATATTACTATTTGTGATTATTTTGATCTTAAATTTAATGATATTATTGTATTTATGGAATTTGTATGTATTTTCTTAGTGTATCCATGCATTTTCATGTTTTTTGTCCATATCCATGCGTTTCCAAAGCGTATCTGTATCCATGTCCGAGTTGTCTGATACGTTGCCCGATACTGATACTAATCCTTGCTTGCCCTTTGCAGTGATCTAAGGGATGGGTGAACTTTATTGGATTACCAGGGATGGGATCTCTAACAGATGTGTTCTAAGGTCATGAGCAAAATCTCCATGGAATTCCTTTGAAGATATAGCACATGAGCTGAGGTGGGAGAGCCCCCAAATCCCAATTCCTGAACACATCAACAGAAGACCTCTTGTTCTTCAATATGCACCTAGTTCTTTCTTACAGTGTGACCTATTCATAACTATCCTTTCCCCAAGTCCAGAAGTCAGTACCTGTTGTTGTTGGGAACAAGGTTTAACATTTTGATACAGTCCGATACGCCGGTTAGGGCATATCAGACTGTATTGTGGCTCGCGTCCTTTTTTTAGACCCTGAAACACGCCCTGTAGGGGCATATCAGGAAGCCGCCGATACGATACGTATTGAAATTTTGAACCTTGGTTGGGAATACTCTCTTAACTAGACCTGACCTGGGTTGTATAATTTTGGCTTTATTTCCTAATCAAGTACCAAAAGAGTTTCTATAACTTCAGCTAAACAAGTAGCAAAACCAAAAACAAATAGCTTAACTTGCAATACATAAATATTATCATTTAAGTTGGCTCTCATGTTAAAATCAAACTTAACTGAATATATACCTACCTAGGTTTTAAGATAACATTTGAGAAATGATATCCTGAAGCACAAAGGATTTAACTAGCTAACTAATAGGAGAAAGGTGGTAGCATTGTATTCAGTGACTCTCTAGGAAAGATGGTAACATTGTATTCAGTCCCAGTTGGCTACGAGGATTTCCGAAATCTGAACTTCTGGCACTATTACAAGGGCTATACTAGCAAAGCAAATGTGGCTGCAACTGGTGGATGTCAAAGGGGATTCAAAACTAGTCGTTTCTTGGATGAATGACAACTCTCCAGGTGTATGGGGGTACATGCATATCTTAAGGGGAATCAACTGCCTAGCTAAGGAAATGGGTATTGTATTTAAATGAGTGAGGATGACTGCATATGGGATGGAAAATTCCTTAGCAAAGCAAGGGCTTTATAAGCAGCAACTTTTCTGGGCAGAGTTGTAATTGGTTTGTTTGAATTCTTCTGTATGTAATATTCATGACTTAAGTAACATTAATAAAACTTTCCTTTACAGATCAAAGAAAAAGGAGAAAACAAATTAAGAAACTTACAATTTGAAGATTGCAGCTGTTGTGAAGGAAGCCTGATTTTTACTATTCCTATATTGTAAATAGTAAACTTAATAATTCGGATAGGTTGAATTTCTTCAGTTGTTTTGCACTCGTTTAGGTCATTGAATTTCCATGGTGGGGTGACTTTGTTTTTCTTTGATAGGTAAAGGGTAGTTATTATTAAAAAGGAAAAATAAAACACAAAAAGAAGGCCGAAGAGATCCACTCCTCAAACATGGATAATGGATTAATCTCAAGTTCAACCAAATGCATGCATCATATGGTACAAAAGTTACATTGTAACCCAACCCACACTCTCTAGAATCACTATCCTCAAAAAAAATGTAACAGAAGTATAAATTTAATGCCCTCACCATGTCATTCCATTAATTTCAAGTATCAATTTTGTCCATATTTTTGAACTCCTAAAACACCAGAACCCAATCCAAAATAAAAGAACATGTCACCATGATTTCTGCCGTTTGGTCTTCTTTAATTCTGGGATGCCACCAGAACTCCTATGTTTCAGATTCATAGTCATTTAAGTTTCAGCCACACAGGAGTCATTTGTCTAGCCTGTCCTCTAGACAGAATGTTTCATAGGGCTGCAGCTAATCTGTTAATATGATATTTGTAGGCTATTGGACTAGGTCTAGGCCATTACCTTAGGGCCTCTGTAAGTGTATGGGCTGGAATAGGACTTGATACTTATGTAATTAATCTTGGGAGCAGCTGAATTGCAATGCCTAACCCCTGCCAGTAACATGTGTGGTTTTTTTATGTTAAAATAAGATTTTTTTTATCAGCAACTCAAAGAATTTTATTAAAGCTTAAAAAGGAAGAGAAACAACACGAAGTTGTTAGGCATAAACCCTCTACAACAAAAAATCCCACCCTCCCTTAACATTGAGCCCAAAACAAATGATGTTTATTTACTCCTCACTTAGCTAGTCCATCCACCAACCCATTAGCCAACCTCCTAACCCATCTTACTTGAATTTGCATTTTGTCTTGACAGCATCTTGAACTGCCTGAATTCATATGTTAAAATAGGAATCCATATCCAACCATTTGTCTATGAATCCCCTTGCACCCAAATGTGCACACATTAATCCCATTAGTCTGGAATTGTGAGGCACTCAGATCCATAGGCCTTCAATAGAAAAATTGAAACCAAATGGGATGTTGTTGGTACTTTTATTTAGAACTTGATTTTTCTCATCTTTATAGTTGCATTAATAGTTGCTTTTGTAAGAAGATTTCCAAGTAGAGGTGGAATGGTATCTAAGCTCCTGTTTGGGAGTGCTTGTTTTTAGGAACTTATTTTTGACTGGGACCACACCAATATGCACTTATGTTCATTTGGGAAAAAGGCCAAATAAATGCTTATTCCAGGAAATAAGCCCATGTTGTTGGACATGGTTTTATTCAATAAGCACCCCCAAATAAGTGCTTATCTCCCCTGTTATTGGACATGGCTTTATCCTTTTTTCTTTTTCTTTTTATAAAACTAATACAGAATATACACTTTATTTTTGAGTTTTCATGATTAATGAATGTAGAGTTGTGCAACTTTATATTCTAATTTAATTATCACCCACACACACACTCACTGTCATTTCACTGAATACTAAGGAGACAGGATTAACACACTCTGTCCTTCACTGCAATTGCTCATGTGGGAGCATGGCAGTTGAGGTGTTTGTAGACCCTGAAGGGCTCCATGTATTTCTGGTTACATGTTCTGTTTGTGTAACAAGTTCAGGAAAATGAGGGCATTTGAGTGCTTTTATCAATTTAAAGAGCATTAAAAGATGGTCTGAATGCTAAAGCTAATTTTCAGAGTTTGTCAAACCAACGGGTAAAGTGGTCATGTGTGAAACTTTTGGGGTGGACATAACCGCTAAGCTGCCAATGGATCGGGTAGAATTGGAAATACCTAAATTTAAATTTGTTAATATTCAAATGAAATCTAAGGCTACACAAGGTTCATCCAAAAAGTGTTTTGATTGTTTGATAAGAATCACTTTGAAGACACAAGGGTCTTTGATCTTAAAACCTCTACTGAAGCTGAAGTTATCAATTTGGCTTTAGGTTGTGTTAGAAGTTGGTTGTCTATATATACTGAATTTAAAGAGGTTACTTCTGATTGTAATTTTTTGAGGATGACCCTTTTTTTTGAGGTCCTTCTGTTTTGGTGTGTACAGCTTCTCATTGTACAAAGGACCTTTTACATCAATACAATTATACTTTACCTTTGCTCAAGAAAGACACAAAAGTACAACACTTTTAAGCCCCAAAGCACAGAGCCTAAATTGGGTTTTGTGCTTTTAGGCTTTAAAAGCACAAATCTTGATGCTTTTCCAAACACAAATATATTCATTAGATTTAAGTCAGACCTAGATTATATTCAAATATTAAATACCATTGATAAATTATATAATTATATATTATTAACAAAAATAAATTAAAAATGAGTTTGATATAGTATATCATGAGCAGTGATTTAAAAGGCGTGCCTAGGCACACAGGTGAGGCGCATTTTAGGGTAAGCGCCTTGCCCATGTCCTAGGCACAACCTTTTGCGCATGCCTGGTGCACCTAGGTGTGTGCCTGATGCGCCTTGTGCCTCAGCCCAGGCATGTGCCTTTTGAAAATTTGACGCTTTTTTGCCTTTTTTTTTTAAGCTAGCGGCTGGGCTGGGGGCTCCACTCCCGGATCCCCATGCCGCGCCCCTCAAAGTTAGCCCAAAAAGTCCATGTTAGGGTCTTAAATTCTTAGTTCACTCGCTCACTGAAGCTCCAAGAACCCCTTATTTGGTAATTTTGTTCATTCATTCATCCTAATAAAAGATCTTCTTAAAAAGCAATTAAATTTAAAAAAAAATCAATATTTTTTGTGTGCGAACTAAGAATTTGAAACCCTAACATGGGCTTGTTTGGGCTTGCCTCGAGGGGCATGGCACAAAGGCAGCTCGTAGAATCAAGAATGTAATATGTTTTGCATCACATTAGCTACTTGAAGTAATGTAATTGAGAAAAAAAGAGATTGTGGGTTTTACATGCTTGAAAATGTTTTATATGTTTGATTTTATTTTTAAATTCTCATTTGAATATGGTTTACATGTTATGTTTATGTATTTTAATTTTAGATAATAGGTTTTTTAAAACATCTATTTTAAAACTTAAGTTTTTATTTTTTTATTAATATTATGTTTTTTTTGTCATTTTTTTATTTTTCTGACTTTTTTTTTTTATTTTTGTGCCTTGCTTAAAAAAGGCACACACCTCACCTTGCGCCTTGGGGGCAAATTGACCCCTACGCCTTGTTTGCGCCTTGCGCTTTTAAAACACTAATCATGTGTTAAATGACTAGAAAGTAACTTTCATGAGATGAACCTACAATTCTTTAGCAAGTGTAGAACATTCAAACCAACTTTACTAAAAGATACCACTATTTTCAAACCACCACTGACCCAGCCAGTTGGACCAGTGAAAGGCAACAATCTTGTTTCAGGTCAACCTCTAAGCAACTATTTACAAAAGAAAGTTGACTCGGTCAACAAACTGTCAACCTGGATGGTTGAACCCTTGATCCATCTAACCCATCCAATGGGTTATTGTTTTTTCTATTTTTAAAATTTTTATGGAATTTTTGTGACAGTGACATCATTGACCCATGTGGTTGAATAACCGGCTTACCTGGAGAGAAGCAGGTCAATCTATGGGCCAGGTTTTACTACACTGATAGATAAATAATAATTTTATGCAGATATAAGACTATAAGTATAAATTAAATGTTCAAATATAAATGGATTTTGGATCGCCTTAATAACATTTGACGTGAATTAGGCTTTAGAGAAACAGATACCATTTTGCAGCCCTATAAAAACATTCCTCTGGTATGATATTAACTTAAAGTGAAACTAGTTTTATTAAAACTCTTTCGCAATGAATTAAATATACATTATTTTCCTTTTAATCTGAATGGAATTAAAAGATAAAATTGATATTTATTTATCTATATATCTCCCCATATATATATATAGCAACTGTCTTTGTCAATTAATTATTGTGTTGCGCTCACTTGTTCACATATATTTTGACTCATGTAGGATGAGGATTTATCTTCAGAGGATGATGATGATGATGATAATGTTAAGAGGAATGACAGAGGGGATGGTTCAAACCAAGTAGAAGATGAGGAAGAAAAAGAAAATGATGATAGACACTCAAGGATGGTGCAAGCTATCATTGGTATGCAAGGCAAGGCTGTTGAAGGTAAAAAGGAATTCCACAAAAACTGCACCAACATGACAAATTTTCTTTTGACGAAAATGTAGATGTGTTTCTTACAAATCATTTTTTTCAGAACTGGAGGCAGACCCTAGCAGGGCTGTCTTTGATGGTGATGGTCACATTAGTATTCAGGATCTTTTGGAACCTCTCCATGGGAAGCCTGGCTATAGCAAGCTCCGGAAGAGAGTGCAGCAATTAGAGAAAAAGTCCATGCCTCTTCAGGCTCCCCTTCCAAAGGTAGATCGGGAGAAGTTAGACAGGAAAGCAGCTTATGAACAATCAAAGAAGGAGATTACTAAGTGGGAGCCATTAGTCAAAAGGAACAGGGAGGCACCTACTATATATTTTGATGAGGATGTAAATTTGGGATTCTCCACTGTAGGGGCAATTGCTTCTGAGTTTGAACCGAGGACCGATTTTGAGAAGAAAATTGCTTCAGTAATGCGTGATGCACAGGTGGTGGAAGCACATAACCAGGATGGTTCAAGGCTTCTTGAACTCAACAAGGTATGTAGATCCTAAAATTTTATTGTTTTGTGAGCCTCGGAACTAGAGCATTTGGTGTGTTTTTGCCTTGCAGTTTTCAGATGGATATTCTGCAGTACCTTCTCTATTTTGAGAAAAGTTGGAAAGAAATGCTCAAGTAACTGATGATCTAATAAGCTACATTTGGTTGCATGTAAAGGAAAACAAATGATTTTGTAGGAAGCTTATATTCAATACAACAAATCATCATCCGGACTTGAGGGAAATCAGAAGGAATTCCATTTTCCAATAACTGCTATGGGCTACTCATTTTTTAGCTAGGAAATCATTTGTTTTCAACTAGCCATTTACATGCAATCAAACCATTCCACTAAATTTTTAGTTTTGTTTTATTTTGGACCTCTATTGAATGAAGGGGTTTATTTATTTTTTCATTATTTAGTACCTTATGATTTTTACTGTTTTTGGTTGCCAATATTTGGCAGATTTCCATTGAAGATGTGAAAGATAGGCAAAATCGTCTGGCAAAAATGCGTAGCCTTCTTTTTCGTCATGAAATGAAGGCAAAACACATAAAAAAGATCAAGTCCAAGACGTACCATCGCTTGTTGAAGAAGGACAAAATGAAAGCAGCATCTACTGAAAGACAAATGGATCCTGAAGCTGCTAAAGAATATGCAATGAAGCAAGAATTCAAGAGGGCTGAGGTGATTGCTAACCTCATTTTATGCTTCCCATTTTAAACTTTCTGTTGGTGCTTCATACTCCATACTAGAAGTGCAAATTGTCCATTGATAAATTTATTTATTTATTTTTTATCTTATCATCCAAGCCTTATCCGAACTATATGGGGTTGGAAACATGAGTCTTGGTTTGCCATTCTGGTCTGTTTAATGTCATATCCATTGTTAAATTATGGCCACTTAAATCATTTCTAACTACTTCAATACATTTCCTTTTTGGTCTACCCCTAGCCTTTCTAACCCCTTCAACTTGCAATAGATCAATTCTTCTTACAAGTGCTGTTGGTGATCTTCTATTTACATGGCCAACCATTTTAGTCTTCGTTCTCTCATTTTATCACCTATTGGAGCTATTCCTAGGTTCTTTCAAACGACTTCAATTTTGACCCTATCCTTCCTAGTTTTTCCACTCATCCATCTCAACATATTCATTTCTACAATGCTTTTTTTTAGGACATGTAGTTTGTTGACTGTCCAACATTCTGCTCCATGCAACATAGCTAGCCTTACTACTGTTTTATAAAATTTTCCCTTCTTTCTAAGACTCCAAATGCACCCCTCCATTTTGCTCATCACGCTCTAATTCCATGGGCAACATCATCCTCAATCTCTCCCTTGTTATAAATTATTGAACCAATGTACCAAAAAATGTTATATTTCATTATCTCTTGATCTCCAATCGTAAGTGTATCCTCATTTGTGCTCCTATTATAATTAAAATTACATATCGTATTTGCAGTTTTAGTCGTACTTATTTTAAAATCATTTGTTTCTAGGGTAGTTTGTCCATAGGCTTAATTTTGCATTAATTTTTCATTAGTTTCATCAATTAAAACAATGCCATCAACAAACAATATGCACCATGGACCTCCTCCTGAATATTTTTAGTCAATTCATTTATGATCAATGCAAATAAATAAGGGATAACTGTTGAACCTTAGTCAATTATTTTATGTCTCTCATAGGTGTTCTATCATTGGTTACTGCACCCTCATGTGTATCCTTAATTAGATCTATATTAGGGACTCCTTTCTTTTCTAGGACCTGCCATATTATCTTTGGGCACTCTATCATATGCTTTCTCTAGATCAATGAACACCATATGGAGATCTCTCTTCTTCTCTCTAAACTTTTCTATCAATCATTTCAAGATAAAGATAGCTTCCATGGTTGATCTCCTTGGCATAAACCCAAATTGGTTCTCCAATATACTTGTTTCATTATGTCACATTCACTCAATTATTCTCTCCAAAAGTTTCATACTTTGTTCTTAAATATGGGCACCATACGTCTCTTCATTCATTTGGCATCTTCTTTTTTTCATTATTTAATTAAATAGCTTAATTAGCCATAATAAGTCTACCTCTCTCATACCTTTCCACACCTCTATTGGAATTCGATTTGGTCCTAACACATTCCTTCATCTTATTTAGCGTCTCTTTCACTTCAACAATTTTAATTTTACACAGGTACACGTTAGTAATCTCTCTGCTGCTAGTGCCCTCTATGTGTTGTTCATTTAATAGTTCTTCAAACTAGTTTTTCATCTTTCCTTGATTTTCTCTGCTTTTACCAAAACTTTTTGATCTTCCCCTTTAATACACCTAACATGATTTAAAACTTTGCCTTTCCTCATTTTTGCTAGTTTATAAATTCCTTTTTCTCCCTCTTTAGTTGGTGCTTAGTTTATGATAGAACTCGCTGTATGCCTTTAATTAACTTGCTTTCTTTTTAACTTCCTTTCTTATGGTTTTATATTTTTCCAAGTTCTCCATTTTTGGATTTTTTCCAATATTTATAACAAATTAGTGCATTTGTGTTTCCCATATCTTTACATTGATTCAGGAACGTATGAGATTGAAGCATAAAAACAGCTCCAAGTGGGCAAAACGTATCTTAAAACGTGGTCTTAATGCCCAAGATGAAGGAACTCGAGCTGCCATTTCCGAACAGCTTCATCAACATACACTTCTGACGAGGAAGATGAACTCAATGAAAGATAGTAGTAGCAGTGATGAGGATGAAGATGACGATGAAGACGATATGCCTGGCACAGAGCAGGATGAGGCATCCAAGTTGCTAACAAAGGCAAAAGAGAAGACACTTAAAGTTATAGAAGAGGAGGATGAAATGCCTCAATCAGGTGTTCTTTCCTTGCCATTCATGGTGAGTATGCACCCTAGTTTCAGCTGTTTATCTGAATTTTGCATCATGTTAATTCATATTTCTGTCTTCCTCTCATATTCTGGTTTCCTTTGGCTAGGGTTGGATCTGTCCTGGATATAACTATTTGTAGACTTGGATTTTTAGCTGTCAGATTGTCAATCTGTTTCTGTTGGTATGTTTATGTCTTATTCACTTTGCTCGATTTGATCATGCCTAGGTCCGTGGACTAAAAAAGAGAAAGGAGGCAGCTTATGAGGAGGCTAAGCTTGTTCTTCAAGAGTATGATTCATCATTGAAGCAGCTTGAGGACACAGATGAGCTGTCAAGTCCTAAAGTAGATACTTCATGTGGTAGACGAGTATTTGGGATGGCTAAGAAGAATTCTCAAGAATCAACTAATAAAAAGAAATCGGATAATATTGTCAATAACAGTGATAGTGAAGATGACTTGGAGCCGAAAGAAAATGTTGATGTGGAGCATGACAAAGTTAGAGCTTTGCATAATGATGCTCATATCGATTGTGATGTACTTCGTCAAGAGTCTGGTCTTGATCCTGATAATGTGTTTAAGGTAAAAAGGTTTCTGAGTGATTTCTGTCTTTGGTTTATCTTTCTCTGACGGATGTGTAATTTTTGTATTATACTTTTTGTATTGTAGAGTTTTGATGATATTGTAAGAGATCCTGGACCAAAGACAACATATGAAGTTTCTATTTTTGCTCCAGATTCCTCTAAAAAGGTTGGTTTTGTCCTCGTCATCTCTTGTAGGCAAGTCACATATTGTTATTCTTAACATTGTTAAATAATGAGCAGATGAAAAGGGAAAAAGAGGTGAATGGCAATGGCAGGAAGCCCCCAAGTGCAGTAGCCCCTTCTTTGCGTTTTCAGAATGTAGAGGTCTGATACTCTTCTGCCTATTAGTTCGCTTCTCTTTTGTGATTTGTGACTGCCTTTCTAACCTATTCTTCTTTTAGGCCTATCTGATCTCTGTATCTTTTTTTATATTTTTAGGAAGTTGACAGGGATACTGACACAGAGAGTGGAGAAGAGATGGTAGATGGGATTCTGTCTTCTGCCACAAAGCCAAGCTACGAACTTCCATCTCAGGCAGACCTTATACACCGTGCCTTTGCTGGCGATGATGTTGAGGAGGAGTTTGAGAAAGATAAATTGGAAATTCTGAATGAGGAGGTTCCTGAACCTGAAAAACCAGTTTTACTTCCAGGATGGGGTCAGTGGACTCATATCCAGCAGAAGAAAGGTTTGCCTTCTTGGATGCTGGAGGAGCATGAAAATGCAAAAAAGAAGAGAGGGGATGCCCTTAAGAGGAGGAAAGATGCTCACCTTAAACATGTAATCATCTCTGAGAAGATTGACAAGAAGGTAAGCGCTATTATTTTGAGGGTTTAGAAAGCATTCTTGAAACTCCTTTCTTCCTCTAAGTTGAAGACTTGTTCTGATCATACTGCTCCCCTTCAGCTGCTGCTTTTTTTAATCTGAGCAGTCTTTTTTTTAATATTTTTTAAATAAGACTTGAATATTTTTTTTTATCTTCTATAAATTGGTAAGATCGGGCTGTCAAGCATGAGGATGTGGGCTTGAGTCTGAGCAGTTGTCACTTTGTGCGACCATATCCAGTCCACCCCTGATTGGTGGGGCCAACATCGGGTAATGGCCTTTTATATCTTATATAATTGGTGGTACTGTCGGGTATGAAGAGTTTGTGGCGTTATGCTTGTTGAGCCCGGATCTCCTACAAGCAAAATTCTGTGCATGCGGCATCTAGCCACATATTGGGAATATCTTCCATGTATTTTAAATTCATAGGGAGATGTTCTCAATGTGCAGTTGGATGCGCTCATGCTTGCAGTGTGTACAGAGTTTTTGCATACAGGAGAGCCCATTGCATGCTTTCTTCCCAGAAAAGAGACTCTGTATATGGAAAATGAACTAAAGCTCTGAACCGGACTGGTTCAGCAGAAAATTGGTGAAATGTCTAGAATTAATTCTACTTTTTTTTATGAAGCCAGAATTAATTCTACTGACAAAGTAGAATTAGTGCTTGTCCGACAGGCATATTATTTGTTTTGTGAACCCTACATGACCAGGAGAACAAAGCATCCCGACCCTAAGATTTCCCTAGTGAAAACCAACTTATTTAACCCAAAATGACTTGTTTTCCTGCTATTAATTCTTTTCTCCTTGTATTATAGTTTACTAGTGTGAAGGGTTATTAAACTCTTGTGCTATGGCAGGCGGCGAAGTTGCATACCAAGACATTGCCGTACCCATATACGTCCAAAGAAGTTTTCGAACAGAGTATCAGGATGCCTATTGGACCTGAGTTCAATCCGGCAACATCAGTTGGTGCACTTAACCGGCCAGAGGTAAGTGAAATGACAATTGGAAAGCAGGAACAACTAGTTTTTCATGGAGCTTAGTTTTCCTTTTCCTTTCTTGACCATACTTTGAGACATTGAAAGATAGAGCCACCAGACTTGACCCTTTTTTGGTACTCGTAATCTTAGGGCTACACAACGGGGTAGTCCATCCCCATACCCTTAATCCCCCAACCTTGGTGGCAGTGGGATTTGATCCCGATTCTCTGTTACAAACATCCAGAAATCCCACCAATTGAGCCACCATCAGATCAGTTGGTAACAGAGAAACCAATTGGAACCAGCGAAGAGGAATGCTAATCTGATATAATGACCTTTTAATCACGAGATTTTTAGGGTGGATGTTTTTTAATCGTTTCTCACGGTGATTGACTTTGATTCAGGTGGTGAAGAAATCTGGTATCATCATAAAACCAATCAAGTTTGAGGAGGTAAACCCTTACGATAAAGTGGAGGAGCAAAAGCACAGTGGGCGCAAACAGAGGACAAAGAATAAAGGTTCCGGGGGCAAAACCATTAACAAGAAAATAGAGAAGAAAGTTAACTAATATTGATTCTAGTGTGAGATTTTGTTGCCCTTGGGTTTTTGTTTGTGATATCACATCTTTTTATAAAGAGGAAGAGAGAAGAGAGAGATGACCTTAAGAAAAAAAGCCAACCATATGAATCTCATCTGTATAATCTATGAAATACGTTTAAGAAATGAAGGTGATGGTTGGGGAAATGGAGGGAGGAGAAAAAAATCATCAGTAGTCAAAATTATAAAATTCATCTGCTAATAAATCATTATTTCTTTCCATTGTCTTGATAATGAGTACATGAAGATTCTTGATACTCTTCTGTGTGCTTGAATGTTAGGATGAAAGTATGAAAAGTAGAACTTTGTGAGTTTGTGTTTGTTATGAACTGTTTTATACACAAAGTACGAAGAAGCCAACAAGGTTCAAAGTATCAACACTTATTGTTCGATATGTATTGTTTCGGGACCCCTCCGATATACCCTTACAGTGGGTGTATCGGGGTCTGACCAGTTCAGGGGTGGAGTTCTAAACCGGCCCTCTGAACCAGTTCTCAAAAAAAAGGCAACAAAAAGCAGTATCGATTCACCTGATACGCCCCTATTGGTGTATCAGGCGTATTGATATTTTGAACCTTGGATGACAATATATCACATGAAATTTGACACGTCAAATATATGATATCACTTGTGCATACAATCTTATATCCCAAATGTCACGTTTTATTTTCACTTTAAAGTAACATGTTAAAGTTTGATTTGGGGAATACATTTTACCAAAAAAAAAGCAAAACACGGGTAAAAATTTTTGAAAAGTATGCTTTCCACAACAAAAGTACCATTTAGCAATCCATTTGAACTTGGTGATAGTTTCCAGTGGTTTCAAGGTTTGAGACCAGTGACTGCAGTCCGACTATAGCAGCGGCAAGCAGAGGTAGGGTCGAGAGGTTTATTGAAGGGTGGTCAATGTATGAAAGCACAATTTTGCCAAAAGCAAAATGTCCGAAAGTACTTTATGAAAATCTATCCAAAGAGGGCATTTTTATACTTTCATAATTTCAAAAGTATGAAAAAAACACTTGAGCATTCAAAATAATTTGGTTTTTTGTTAAAATTTTTGTTTCTTTCATGCGTTTCATGCTAAGTGTGGTCCCGTCATTAAATGCTCCAAGCCTCCAACTATTTTATGCTCCAATAACTTACCTTTGGTATGTTCTCTTTTTAGAGTACAAAAATGTTGAAAAATACATTTTTAATCTGATAATCATTATTTCTTTTACATGTCGAACAAATGCTTGTAAGTGCAAACTGCAGTACATAAATACCCCAATTTGATGTTTGTATTACAAACAAATGGAGTCTTAGTGTTTAGTCTTTGCCTTTTGGTTCAATTTGACGTTTGTATTACAAACAAATGGAGCCTTGGTGTTTAGTCTTTGCCTTTTGGTTGAATGTTGGAGATCCACTTTCAGTTGCAAGCATGGTGCCAATAGTCTCTTTGTAATTTGTTCATCCATATTTATTATGTCAAATTTAATGGAAGTAAACAAATATATATCAAAAAAGTTTCTGTTGACATGAAGAGCAAAAGCAATTGGTACTGAGACTGAGACAGGATCTCTTGAAAGCAAAAACTTATTGCAAAAATATAAGCATCCTGATGTAAAATGGGAGCATCTCCCCATGGATTTAAGATACATGTACGAATGAGTGTTATTATTCCCAAATGCATGGCTAGATGTTATGCTATTAGGGGTTGGTACTCATTTTCTATCATTATGTATTTTAGGTTTGGGATTCGAGAAAATACATAAGACTCTGCTCTTTACCAAAGTTTCTTTCATGATAGCAAGGCTGTTATTTCTTTGACCGCTAAGTTAGTTTCTAATTAATAATTGCATCACCCAATCGATTTGTGATTTTCTGTTGAATTCTTCCTCCCCGTTTTTATATCTATTAAAAAAATAATGTCCCTTTGGGGGGCACACATGGATATAGATAGTTTATAAGTTATGTTTGATAAAAAAATCGGTGAGTTTAAATAAGATTTTTAAAATTGGACTGGACAGGGAACCGTTCTGGGGTCGGATTCTCAGGTTAAACGGTTCGACTATCTAATTCAAATAGATAGTTCACTCTAACAAAAAAATTAAAAAACCCCAAAACGACCAAAAACTATTTCCGGGTCAAACAGTTTGACAGTTTGATCGCCTGGGTTAGCAGTTCATTGACCAAATCAACAGTTTTTAGTCAAAAAGTGGTTTTGGAGTAAAACAGAACTACTTCCCAGTTTTTCTAGTCTGACCATCCAATCCAGTCCGGTTTTGAAAACATTGAGTCTAAATGTACTGTCGGGTTGTTGCCTGTTTGCTTTAGCCTCTTTGAATAGCTTAACTAGAAGAGTCCGGATCTACTGATGACAACACATTGCTGGCCATACACATCCAGCTATACATTGTGAATATCGGTGTTTTAAAGTATAACTAGTATTCCTGTTGTGCGACAAGATGCACGTGTGTCACAAGTGACTCCTTCACCGTGCCATCAAACACCTTCCACCGTGCCATCAGAGTGCCTACAACATGCCTTCATGGTGTCATCATGTGTGCCATGGGTGGGCTATGTATGTATTTTGTAAGGGGGGATTGCCAATGGCATTATTGTAATTACTCAGTATGGTTTTCACCATTTTGATGTTTCCTTTTGTCACTCCCCCAAAAGCTTAACATACTCTTTGAAGAGAGGTAGGTAGTCAAGTGAATCAGTAGCATGTAAAGGTTAAGCATGAGATCCCCTCGACACTAAACTGTGTGCTTGTGTTGGCCACCAATTTATTCAATACAAAGTGCCTTTTTGACTAATTTGTGTGCCTTTTTGTTGTTTTTTGTGTGTTGTTGCTTGCATTCATAGGTCTACTCGACCCCATAGAGAGCCACACGGGGCCACGTCGATTAGCCCCGTGACAGTTGGTATCAGAGGAGGTTGTTCCTCAATGCACGTGACCCTTGCATAGCAATACTAGTGTTAGCGCAATGAAGCACAACCGTGAAGTCACCGGTGAGATATAGCAGGGCCTTGCCCATGCTCGGGAGACCGGTGAGGCACTAGGTGATAAAGCCATCGCGGACAAAGCCCAAAAGGGCCGTATATCCAAACCAAGCAAGCGCGAAAAGTCCATTGACAAGCTTGCTGCCTTTGACACACGCATTCTTCGTTGCGAGGTGACCATTGGGGAGATGTGTGATCGAGTGGAAGAGATCCACCTCAATGTTGAGACCATCAAAAGCTCCATGGTGGAGCTAGAAGCTTGCTTGAACGACATCTTGAGCAAGGTTCAAAACATCTTGAATGGCACCCTCAAGGAAGTCCTTGGCACAACATCCCGACAAGAAGGGAGCTCATCCCGATCCAACATCCAAGACCAGGTTGACAAGATGAGAGCTGAATGATCGACATGGAAGAGAGCCATGCCCCCACCTGTAGCCATTCAAGCACAATTAGAAAGTATTGAAAGAGAGTGGATGGCCATGAAAGCAGCCATGGCCGCTCCTACTGACCTCCAGGCACAACTGGATGACATGATAGGAGACATGGCGCTCCTAAAGAGATTGATGGCCAACACTCCTAGCCCCTCCACAATGCTGGCCCTTACTCGCATAAAGATCCGAGAGCCCACACCTTATGCCAGCTCCCGCGATACTCGAGAACTCGACAACTTCTTGTGTCAAATGGAATAATATTTCCTTGTTGCTGGCATTGATGATGACCTTACTCAGGTTCGTACTATTTCTATGTTATGGTGGCGCAGGTGATGCCTAGACATTGAATGGGGCACGTGCACCATTGATACATGGGCCGATTTCAAGCGGAACTGAAGCGACAATTCTACCTAGAGAACGTGGAGTACCTAGCCCAAAAAAAAGTTGAAAGCACTCGAGCATGGGGACTCACTCCACGAATATGTCAAGAATTTTTCAGCCCTTACCCTAGAGATCACAGATATGTTCGATAAGAATCTACTGTTCAATTCCATGGATGGACTGAAGCCATGGGCCGAATTGGAGCTCCAACATCACAACGTGCAAGACCTCGCCACGACAATGGTAGTGGCAGAGGAACTAACTGAGATGAGCTTTTCAGATGAGGAAGCCCCCAAGCTAGTAAGCCCGCGTATCCCAAATTTGAGTGGGGGAGCAAGTCAATCGCGCCCTTCGTACGACAACTCCACCTTCGACAAGCCAGCAAGATAAGACCACGAGAAGAAGCCACAAGGAGAGCAAGGCCCTCAGCACCACTACAAGCCCAGGACCACCGGACCCCCACATTCCTGTTTTATTTGTGGGGAGAAGCATTTGGTTCATGACTGCCCAACCAGGAAGAAGCTCAATGCCCTTGTCGCCAAGCTCAGTGATGATGAGCAAAGTGACAAGGAAAAGTCAGTGCAGGCGCCAAGAGTGGGCGCCCTTCAACTCTTCAACCTGAACATGGTGAAAGAGACAAGGTGGCTCAAGGCCATGAACTCTGGGGCCAAGGCGATTGAAGGCATAGCCCGTGGGGTTGATTTCCAAGTTGGGCCTTGGACAGGCAAGACTAATATATCAGTGGTGCCCCTGGATGACTTTCAAGTTGTTTTGGGAATGGACTTCTTGACGTAGGTGGAAGCAGCACTCATGCCTCACATCAACTCTTTGTGCATCTTGGATGAACGTTCCCCTTGCATGGTACCAGTTATGACTTCCACTAGGGTCCACGGGAAACAAGTTTCAGCATTACAATTTTTTCATGAAGAAGCCTTGTTCGAAGCCAACATGGAGGAAGCATAGAAGTTCCCCACTCCACTAGCTGAAGAAGCCACCCTTGAAGCCAACCTTGACGCCAATAGGAAGCAATAGGCAATCAAGCCATCCTCACCACTCCAGCAATAGAGTTCATGCTCACCAACAACCATCAAGCAAAGTAGAAGACCTAAGGCCGTGTCCAACTTCGCCCACACCTACTACCACAACCACTAGGGAGAGCAAGTGCCACCCAAGCCATTTAGGGACCACTTTCGCACCATTTCTCAGACTAAATCACGTAGTAGTCCTATGAGTAGTCACCCTTGGGGAAAAATTCATGGGAGCCAACACCTCAACAATCCAAAATATCATTTTGACCCTTACCTGGCCCAAACCTTCCCTATAACCAAACTGAACCAGCCACTATCATACCTTGAGGCCGTCAGGAAAGGACTTAGCCATAGGAACCCCCAATAGAACAAGCCATCCCAAACATGCCACCCAAATACACACTTTGGCCTTGGACAACAACCGGTTCGTGGAACAGTAGAAGAACCCTCCTTCCGCATCAACAACTCCAAGGGACCAGTTGAAGTCAATCTCCGAGGACGTAAATCGAATTGAGTGGGGGAGACTGTCACAAGTGACTCCTTCACCGCGCCATCAAGCACCTTCCGTCGTGCCATCAGAGTGCCTACAACGTGTCTTCATGGTGTCATCATGTGTGTTATGGGTGGGCTATATATGTATCTTGTAGGAGGGATTGCCAATGACATTATTGTAATTACTCAGCATGATTTTCACCATTTTGATGTTTCCTTTTGTCACTCCCCCAAAAGCTTAACGTACTCTTTGAGGGGAGGTAGGTAGTCGAGTGAATCAGTAGCGTGTATAGGTTAAGCACGAGATCCCCTCGACACTAAACTGTGTACTTGTACTTGCCACCAATTTATGCAAATACAAAGTGCCTTTTTGACTAACTCGTGTTCATTCTTATTGCCTTTTGTGTGTTGTTGTTTGTATTCGTAGGCTTACTAGACCCAATCGAGCGCCACACGGGGCCCCGTTGATTAACCCCATGACACATGGGCAACAATATGTGGTGTCAGCAAATCCAAACTCTAACTAAGTGCTTCAAAATAGCTGAATCTTCACCTCAGCCCTTCCAATTGGGTCGGACTCCTAATGTATTATGGGAATTACAATTTCTTTATTTCTTTTATAATTTGGATAAAATGGAGAAAGACAGAAAGTGGTGTAATGCTGGTTTAAAAATGTTAATAGGTGATTCAGTGGCGGCTCATGAGGCCCTTTTGGGCCATTATACAAGGATGGGGATTCTCATAAAAACCGAAAAACCAAAAAAAAAAAAAAACGAATCAAATTGAACAAACCGAACCAAAAAATGCGATTAACCGAATTGACCGATATATATATATATTTATATGTATACTATATTTTTTTAATATGTCTCACATATTACCTATATATTATATAAATATATATACATATTTTATATTTATAATATATATCAAAAATATGAAAAAAACTGAAAAACCAAAGAACTGAATCGGTAAAAAACTGAACCGTTTTGATTTGAAGATCTTAAAAAACGGTAGGACTGATTCAGTTTCTAACAAACTCTCATGATTCGGTTAACTGAACTATGAGTACCCTTACGCAAGGGACCCTAAACCATCATCCATTCGTTCAGACTTAGTTGGGCCGGGCTCATGGGTTGGGTTGACATTTTGCTAGGTTTACGGCTCTATGTCCAATCGAGTCAACTAGGGGTGTTCACATTAAATGTCAAACCGACCAAACCAGCCTGAACAAACTTGAGTTGGTCGGTTTTTCAAAACCATCGATTAGTTTTGGTTTATATGAAAAAATAAACCGAGTATCCTATATGTATAAGTAATTATTAATTAGTCCCTACCCTATATCTTAAAGGTTTATTTTTTATTTGTGTTTTGTTTGAACTTTGAAAAAAATTGGTTATTTATGATAAAAACTAAAAACGTAAAACCAACAAAAATATAATATAATGGTACACTATTTAATTCAGTTTTGTATAAATTTAAATATATATTGACAAAAAAAACAGTTTTGCATAAAAAATTAATCGATTTAAATATATATTTTAATTTTACATAAAAACTAAAAAAGAAATAAACATAAATATAAATAGATAATTTAATTTAAAATATATATAAAAGTTCACCCAAATTGATCCTTCATATTTGGTCTGTTTTGGTTTAGTCAATAAATGAACTGACTAGATCGAGTCGGTTGAAAGAAATGATTCAAACCGACCCGACCCGCGAGGAGTGGGCTAGCGCTAAGTGGTAAAGAGTGCAGACGTGCAGTGGAATGGTTGGATAATCAGGGACCCAGCCGGTAGCTGCCTTTCTGTTGCTGGGTTCCAAAAATTTACAGAGAAACAAATCGTGCCGTGCCTTCATTCATTGTTGTCAAACAAATGGGATGCTTCGCCCCTACAGCTGCAATCGTACGATTGCCTCTAAACTACGCTTTCGCAAGGAAGAGCAATGGTGGGCTAAGAGCAAAACTCAACGACAATGACAATGATGCATTTCTCCAAGCGGCCATTACTGGCGCTTCTCTTCGGTTTCAGGAAACTCACCAACCAGGTACTCTTACCCGCTCAATAATTTTGATGGAAAATCGTGTTTGTATTTGCTTATTTTGAATTTTTACCGGGAAATATCGTTGAAAGCTGGTACTCTGGGTGGATTTACATTCGATGAACTGGAGTTGGGTGGTACCCGTTAAGAATCTTTATCGATTTTCATATACTTGCTATCGTTATTTCTTTTTTGAATTAAAACTTTAAGTGTGAACAGAACTTTCATTATTGGGGTTTTGTCGGTGATGATTCATCTCCAATGGAGTAGGCGTAGCATTTCCAGATCAGATGTGAGAAGAGTAATTCTGTCATTCTGATTAATCCTTGTACTTGCAGAGCCTCTTCTTATTGACCCATATGCTGGTTGTTTCGTTGCTCATGACATTAAGAAGGATATGACACAGTATCCATTTTCAATTACAACCCCAAACCACTATTGCCTTGCAACAAAGTTCATCGATGATAAGTTACTTGGCGCAGTCAACCATGTGGATGGGCCTAGGCAGGTACTTCGATTGGTTGAAACTATAAGTCTGTGTCTGTTCATTCCCTCATACGACTTGTCGACTTATATCCTGCAGGTTGTCTTGTTGACAGATGGTATGGATACTCGGCCATATCGTCTCAACTGGCCAAGCTCGACCATGATATTTGATATTTCTCAGGAAAGAGTTTTCCAGATGGCAGCTCAAAAACTTCATGGTCTGTGCCATTTCTTATTTCAATCTCGTGGATTATTATGAAATATCTGCAGTCTTTTATTATAAAAAATGCAGTCTCTGCATCATTGTTATGACTCTTCATGGAAATAATTTTTATTCTTTGCTTTTTAAATTTTGAGTTTTTAAAATTACATAAGAATGCATTTGATTGCTTATATATATATATATAAGGTTTAATTTACTGTGAACACCCGTTACCAAGAAAACAGAGTCAATGAAAAAACAATGATAGTAAGTAGTAACAATGAGAACAATAATAAATGAAACTTCCTGGGAGTATTACCCAGAATTTCATTTTTACTTTTTTTGAAAAGGTTATACAAAATTATATTGATATTGGCAAAAATATTCAAAGTCCCTTTGTACAAAGTCTATAAACACAGCGCTGCCTATGTATCAACAAACATATTGGAAATGTTAAAACTCTCAGTGGATGAAGTCCCTAGAGCTTTTCACAGAATATACAGTGGATGATATGTTGAGGAAATGGGACGAGATTGCTAGCTGTACCCAGACTAAAGCTGGGGTGAGTGTGTCTTGGACTCCCCCACTGCATAAAACTAAACTTTGAGGGAAGTAGCATAGGGAACCCTGGACAATCAGGGATTGGGGGTGTCTTTAGGGATGAGAATGGGGTTGTTTCTGCCATGTTCTCAGGCCCAATTGGAGTGGGTGACTCTCTCAGATCTGAGATCCACGCAGTTATGGAAGGTGTCTAGAAAGCTAGGGAGATGAATATCAGAAAACTCATAATTGAAGGAGACTCGGAGGTAGTGGTTGGGTGGCTGAACAAAGAAGAGAGCGGTTTATGGAGTTATAGTAATTTGAAGAGGAAATTCAGATGGCTGGTTTGAGAAATGGAAGTTAAAATCAGTTGGGTAAAAAGATCAGCTAATTCTTTTGCTGATGGGTTAGCTAAACAAGGGGTGGACAGGGACGTCATGTTTTGGGCACAGATGTAATTTAATTGTATTCTTCTTCTGTTCTCTTTTTCTCTCTTGTTTCTTCTCTTGGGGCTCATAATGTAGTTGGAAGATAAGAAAATTTGTCTTCCTCTATGTAATTATTGTGATAATTAATGGATTGTGTTATTGATAAAAAAAAAGTTTAACTCTCTGCAAAACAATCTATGAATGGAGAGCCAATCCCTAAGGAAATAAAAAGAAGAATTGATCACAGCCTCTACAAGTTTTCTCTTATCTCAAACGCTGTAGTTTTCCTTTTAGCCAGATTACCCGGAGAATAGCCAAAGGGAACAGATGAGCATTATATTTTGCCTTTCCTACTCATGCCTTTGATGTGCCATTACCAGAAACGGGCAGAGACAGAAGCAGGCTGACACAAAGAAATTGTAATGCCTGCTGATAATGATGCCAAATTTTACTCGAAAATTTGCAGTAGAGAGAGAGATGGCTGGAGCTCTCAGGATTCTGTTCACACTTCACATTAGAGAGCACAGAGTATTGTCTATTCTCATGCCCCTTCTTGACAGATTTTCTTTCATCAAGCATTTGTCCGAAACCACCACCCAAGCAAAGAACTTGACCTTGGAAGGTGCAACAGCCCCCATATAGCCTTAATAGGAAGGGGAAGAGTCTCTGTCCCCACTTGTTAGACCTTGGTAGAATGATCTGACAGAGAATAAACCAGAATGCATCCATTTTTGGATCCTACAGTCCTTGGCCTGAGGGTTACATATTTGATTTTGCACCTTGGAGGAGGGCAGTTCTGCTACCTGGTTCATCTCCCAATCATTGAAGTTTCTTCTAAAGGTGAGGGACCATATTATCTTGCCACTCACCATGTTGTAGGAATCAGTAACTAAGGCATCTTTATTGCTGGCTGCCATGCAAAGACAAGGAAACACACCTTTCAAGGGTAGCCATCGCAGCAAGGGTCCTTCTAGAAGCTCACCCTGCTACCATTCCCTATCTTATACCTGATACATTTTAAAATAAGAACAAGACTTACAAATGCTATTCACATGCCACAACCATAAGAAAGATGAGAGCCCTCCACATCCCAACCATTGCTGCTTAAACCATATTTCTCAGCAATTAATCTCCTCCAAAGGCCATCAGGCTCAGCAGAGAACCGCCATAGCTATCTACCCAAAAGAAATAAATTGAATAATTTTACTCTTCTTATGCCCAAACCACCTTGGCCAATGGGTTTGCATACCTGCTCCCAATTAAGTAAGTGAATTTTGGGATAATCTTTCCAGCCTGTCCATAGGAAATCCAGCCTTGCAGCATAGGTTACCCACCTTCCATCATGTTATTCTCACTCTTTGTGGGCCCCCTTAATTCACAGTCCCTTTCATCATCTCTTTTTTCCATTTCATGGAAAATGCCCACTAATCCCAAATCTAATTTGTATCTTGCCGTTAGAGGAACCCTGTTCTGCTGCATGGAGAGATGATGTAGCAAATAGATGACCCTTAAGATTTCCCATGTCTTAACTCTCCCAGCATGTCAAGTCAAGCCTATAGACATAAGTTTTTCCTAAGCATATTAGACATCCAAAGCTTAAATTCCCAATTTGAAAGACATCCAGCGAAAAACTAGAAAAGAAAGAACAGGATGGTAGTATAGGCTCTTGGTCACTTGACTAGCAAACCTTAGGGGTGCTCATAAAAAACCAAGGAAACCAAACTAACCTGTGAGTGTGTGTGTTATACATTTATAGCATTCATATATATATATATAAAAGCTGAAGAACCAAACCGAGCAACCAGTTATCCAATTGATCTAGTTCAGTTTTGGTTTTTTGGAACAATGCAAAAACTGGTGGGACCCATGCTCATATATGTCTCCCATCAAGAGGAAAGTAACAGCTGCACCCCCTGCATTTGTGGTTGTTGATGCCAAAGAGAACAAGATATTCAATTTTGAAATTCATTATATTCATGACAAATTGGATGAACTTTCTGGACAAAGAAGAAGATTTTGCATGCATGTTAGCTATCCATATAGTCTCATTCTTTTCTAAATTAAATCTCATTGAATTGTAATTGGAATTTTATTTAGATTAAGAAAACCAGTTGCATGGTCTTGGAAAATATGTATCTGGCATGCCACAATTTATTGAAGCACTCCTAAGGCTTTTATCATCTGCTTAATACTAGTAACATTGTTGCAAGGGCTTGTGCCTTTATGATATCTCAATCTTCACCAAAATCAGATACCAGATAGTTCATGTGAAGCCTCATGGATTGAATATTCAGCTGGATTGATGATACAATCTTGCCCCAATGCTATGCAAATAACAAGAGAAGAATATATAGGCATTACTGTTTACATTTTACAGAACCTAAAATGTGATAATGATTCTGATATTCTCTGGATGAAATTTGGTAATACAGAACATTCTCAATCCAGGTCCTTAATGAAATGAAACTTGATCCATGATGAAAACTTTCTTTCTATTTGGCAACAAAACCTTTTACCTTCATTTCCTTTATCATCCATCTTTCTTTATGAATCCAGTCTTTGTACCTCTTTTGTACTTTATCCAACGATTGGAAGTTTGTCAGTACTATTAATTCTTTCTATTTGGTGGTCTTCATTTTTGTCCTAGCATTATGAAAACTCAATTGGTTTTACTTTTCAAATGTCATGAAATTGCCTATTTGGTTCATATGGAAGAGTCATGCAGGATCACTTAACAATATCCTTATATAAAATCTTTAGGTGTTGGGGCAAGGATTCCTAAGAGTTGCTTGTTCCTCCATGTTCCATTGGAATCATCTGATATACCAGCAACCTTATGCAGAAAAGGCTTTAATGGTAACCGACCCAGCATATGGGCATTTCAGGTGTGTTATGATTGTCAAAACTATCAATTTGTAGAAACTCAAATATTCCTTAAGTATCTTTCCTTGGCTTCCTAAATGCATAAATTGTTGGATGCTTGAGTGGGTTAACTGTATATGTCTTTGCAGGGACTACCTCTTATGACTATGGCAAAGTTTACAGAGATTTTATTCATTGTCAGCAGTTTAGCTATGAAGGGATGCCTTTTCCTAGGAGAATTGCCTGCCTGGTTGGTGGAAGCTGAAGTTGGGATCAAGGTGACTGTGCCATAACCCCTATGTTGATGTTTATTGCTTGGAAACATTCACCTAAATAAAATGGAAGTATAATTTGCTCCTTATATTCTTTTGCAGACTGATAAACAGAAATGGATGGACAAGCTTTTCATGTGTAATGGTTTTAAGGTGGATGTGGTCTGCTATGATGAAGTTGCAAGGAATATGTGTAGAGATATACCATCGGGAGACTATAAAAGAATACTTTTTGTTGCAGAACAACTGCGCTTCTCAGATGATCAGGTAAACAAAAAAAGCAAGGTTAGGTGTAATAGTTGCTGAAGGAAATACAAGACGGATGGGATATTTTGTAAAGCGTAAAGCAAAATAAAACATAAGGCTCCCTTTGTTTGCAATTCAAATCCGAACTGGATACAAAATTTGCACTCCGTTCAGATTTGCATGTATTTTGTTTGTAAGCATGATCGATACCCCTGCCTAATACAAAAATAGCACTCATTGGCAGTGTAAGATTTGCATCCCAAAACTGATGCAAACTTGCAATCTTATCCTTTGCAACAAAACGCACACAAAGTAAAACTGAAATAAAAAGTAAACCATAGATTGCATTCCTGTATATTTGGACTGCCAACAAAAGGGTCCTAAGGACAGAAGAAACATGGGCTCCAAATTCAAAATTTTTCTGGAATATTTGTATAACCATGATTTGCACTCCAGTTCAGGTTTGCATGTCTTTGTTTGTAACCATGATTTACACCCCTACCTAATGCATAATTTGCATTCATTAGCAGTTTAAGTTTTGCATTCCAAAAGCTGATGCAAACTTGCAATATTATCCTTTCAAACAAACAAAACAAAGTAAAACTTTGAAATAAAAGTAACCAGAGTTCGCATTCCTGTACATTTGCTCTGCAAACAAAAGAGTCCCATAAGTGCATGGGCTCCAAGTTTAAAAAATTACTGGCATATGTTGTGATCTGTCTACCTGAACTTGTTTGCCATATTTCCTGCTGTTTGGTAACCCCTTCTTAGCGATCTACCCTATAGGAGCTTCATTATATGACAAATATGATTTTGCAATTTGCATATATTCTGTAGTTGAAATTTGCCTGGGATTTTGCTTTTTTTTTTTTTTGCTTTTTAGCACAAGTAATGTTGTGTATAAGATGATAAGCTTGCTGAAAGATATGCTTGGCTCCCACTTGTACGACAGATGGAAAATTGGAGAAGGGAATTTCAGAGGATAGAGGAAGAAGGAGACGAAGATGGATTTGAGGAACTCTAATAGAAGACAATGATTACTACCTCTTTGGCGGCGGATGTGACTTTTTATTTTCCATTTATATCGGTTGATTGGTCTGCCACACCGTGGATTACGAGTTACCACTTATCAAAAAAAAGTTCCAACTTCCAAGGTTCAGGTAATCGGGTTCCAGACTCCCAACACCCTACTAAGATAAGAAAAAGGGTATATAAACATAAGATTAATGGAAAGTTGTGAATGCCTTGATTCATTGTGGCTCACGGAGCAAAGGCCTAACAGGTTGATGCCTCAAAGTCTGAAATACGGTTACATGCTTACACCAGAATATTAAAGTTGTTATTGGCTTTTTTCTCTTATTTTTGTTGGTGTCTCATGTATGACCTTTGAGCAATCAACACGGGATTCTGTACTTGTTAGAAAGAGGGCATGTGTATCCTCTCTATCAAAAGGTTCAGACTATGATACTGTACTGGAAAGTGCATTTATGTGAATTATTAGCATGTATCATACTGTACTTTGTAAAGTGTATCGTTTTCTCTTGCTTTCAGCCAAAATCATCCTCCTCATCGTCTAAGCCTTTGTCCAACTAGAATGAGTTGGTCACATGAATCTTGTTTTCCCATTCCATTTTCTTTAGAGCCATATTCATCATTAAATTGTGGGTGCTTAAATCACTTCTTATTACATCCGTTTAAGTCTTTTTTTATCTGTCCCCAACTCTCCTATCCCCCTTCAACTTGTAAATGATCACTTTTCATAATGTTATAAATGATCTTCTATGCATATTGTCAAACCATCTCAATCTAATTTTTCTCATTTTGTATGTGTTTGGTTCCATGAGTGTTTATGGATTAGATTGTTTATTTGTACTTTTTTACTTTAAACGTTTATCTATACTTTTTCACTTTAACGTTTTTTACTTTAAATGTTTCCTGTTTTTGTTGTTTGGTTGGGTTTCACTTTAAAAGTTTTTTGTTCTCTACCTCATATTAATACCCATTAAAGTGTGCCACATCAGCATTTGGTTTCAAGAAACACGTCGGGGGAAATAAGAATTTGTCGTTTTCCCAAATGCCCCATGCACAAAAATCAAATTGTTTCAGTTTTCTACCATTTATTTGATAAACGGTGAAACCAAACAGGTGTTTCATTTTGTTTCATATGCAATAAATGCCAATGCCTATGTGGCATTGATGTGGCTGTGTTTTTTCAATAAATGCCCACGAAGTGATGAAACCAAACACAACCTTTGTCACCTAATAGAGTTACTCCTAGGTTCCTTCATAACTTCATTTTTAACAATATCCTTTCTAGTTTTATGGTTTTACCACTCATCCATCTATCCAAGTATTCCCATTGTTGCCATACTCATATTTTGGATATTTCGTTTCTTGATTGCCCAGCATTGCTCCATAATATAACATTGTTGGCCTTAAAACATTTTTTTATAGAAATTTTCCTTTTAACCCAAGTGGTCTTTCATCTTTCCCTTTCACGCAAGACTCAAAGGGGTGCTTTCAACCAAAAAGGAATGATAAAATATCACTAATTTCTTAAAATCATTATTGCCTTTTTCTCCTAAATGCATGTAGATATGCAACTAATCTGTTTTGAAAGAAGTTTTGTCATCAAACTGGTGTAATGTGCTCATTTTGGATAAAGATGTGTATGGCATCAAGGTTCAAACTATCAATGCTGTCGATATGAAATTTTAAGGTATTAGAGTTTTAATCAATCGATACTAATTTTTAACTCCTTTCATTGAACATTTTACCGGTGGAAATGTCATTATATTTTATCATTTAAAAAATTGAAATGGAGTCATCATCTATAGCATATCGAAGAGGTCAAAAGGAGCATCCAGCAGGAAGAAAACAAAGTAACATCACCTACGTACTATATTCTCTTTGAGCATGTGGATTATGTCTATCAGAGCCAATAACAAAAAAAGATAAAAAAAATTGGTCTAATAAATGTAATATGATAAAAATATTAGTCAAATTTAGATTTGTGTTGAATACGTTTTGTTTTAAATGTGTGAAGTATAAAAAAATCATCACATTTTATATGTAGATATTTGTCTAATATATTAAGTTTATGCATTTGTAAAAGTATAAACAAGTTTTTAATTTTTAAAGTAGATATAAAATTAAAAGTTCCCGAATTTTTTGTCCCTTATTTTTGAAAATCTGAATTTTAGAAGTATTATACATTTTTCCGAATTATTTGTCTATTTCTCTTATTCTCTATATAATTGAAAAAGTGTAATTCATGTAATTTTCTTAAGAAAAATGTCAATATGCACATAATAAGCGTATTATATGAGAATTTACTAACTATGGATTAATGATGATGAGATTAGCAAGATCATGCCTTATAAACTTTTAATATAAGAATATATTTTATTAATTAAGGAGGGAGAAAGGGCAAATTTAAGAAATTATTTGCATATGCAAATTTTAATTTTATTAAAAAAAATCAGGATGCAACTAGGGATGTCACAGGAATCAATCCAAACCCGACCTGCCCCAACTAATGGAGAGGGATACCGAACCCACCCCACCCCACCACATATATGGTACATCTATACTCAATTGACAATATATAGTGCCCATTTGGGAGGGTTTATGCAGTGATAGAGCTACATTAGTTGAGCCACTTCTGAAAAGGTACTTACCCTAGGGCTGTCACTGGGTCAGTTCTAAATCGATTATGACGGTTCTAGTTTCATGATTTTGCCCCAGCTAATAATTGGGTAGGTTCTATTTCTTGCCTGTCCTGAATGAATCAAACTCGGAACCAATTGTTTTATTAAATACATAGTATTTTCTTATTTTTCTTATAATTTTTATCATATTCTATGTTTGAAATAGTAAATTTGATAAATAATATTAGTTAGAAATGTTTAATTTATTAACAAATAAATTATTTAGCATTTTACTATCATTTTTATTAAGGTTATAATATCAATTTTAAATTTTAAGTTATTATTTAAATAAATAAATATAATTTTCAGTATAATATATTAACCAGAGATGGTTCTGGCTCTGTGATTTTGTTCTAATTAATAATCAGTTCAGAATTGGGTCCACCCTATCCTGATGCAGGCCCAACCCGTTAACAGTCCTAACCTATTTTAGCTTCACAAAAAGTTAGGACTTTATCTCAAGTCTCCGCTACAACCAGCAGGAGGCCTTACCAACTAACTAGTTGACATTTTATTGGTTTTTTACCAAATTCTGCTTCACAACTTTTCAAGTTTCACAGCTTGTGCAACACCAGAAGCTGCTATTTGAAATCTTCCAAAGGGCCACATAAACTTTCAAACCTACAATGCCAACAGTTGGGTCAGTTCGGATTTTTCACCTAACTCAAGTGACTCCGGATCTCCTGCCCATGCCTACCCATAATTCACTATCCCCCGTGAATTGGGAACATCTCCCCCTGCATAATATTATACAGAGGATGAGATGTTCTCCATGTATGACTGCAATAAGCATGGGCAGAATTCTCGTGGACTGGAGATCCCGACTCAACTCAAGTGCCCAATCCATTGACAGCTTTAGATGCAAGCGTGGGTAGTAGGCACATGTCAATGATATCAAAAAATCTGCAGTCCGATCTAACATTCAATTCAATTATCTTGGATTGAGGCATTGTATTTATGTAATTTATTCAGATTCCAATTTTGCAATTTGCATCCAATTAATAATCGGATTTGATTGGGATTTGACTCCATACAATCTGACTATATTGTAATATTATTGATTTTAATATATAAGTTTTAATATAATTATATTTAAAAATACATTTTTTTTAATTTATTTTGCATATTAAAAATTAAAGCGCAGTTGGATAAAATTCAAATCCAATCCGAGTCCATTATACATTCAGATCTGATAGAATTTCAGATTGGATTCGGAAGAAAGTTTTCAATAATCGAATCAGGTCCGAATTTTGTTGAATCCAATCCGAATCCGATCCGATTACAGTCCTACCCACGAGGAAAGAGTTTCGAAATGTCAGGAAGACCCTTCAAATTTTTGAATATACAAAGCAATCCCGTAAAATTTCAAAATACCGTTGAGTGATTGAGTCTTCCTCTTCCAACTTCATTCAGGGTTGGTTGAAATCGAGCCGGTGGCAGACTGGCAGTATATAGGGTATTAGTATTACCTTCCCGACTTTCTTCAATGCGAGCATCTACGAAACTTGTGTCTCCGACCCATCCCACATTCCATCTTTCCCACCCGACTCCAGATGCCTTTATCTGGAACACCCTCATACGAGCCCATGCGCAAGCCAGAGACGGAACCACGGTACAGACCACTTCCCCCCTTTCTATATACCTCCGAATGCGTTCCCATGGTGTCGAACCCGACTTCTACACCTTTCCTTTCCTCCTCCACTCTTTCAACTCTCAATCTCATCTCCACTTAGGAAACCAAGTGCACGCTCACATCATTCGCCTCGGCCTCGCCTCCGACACCTTCATCCAGACTTCACTCATCAACATGTATTCCTTTTGTGGGAATTTAAGTTCTGCCCACCAAGTCTTTGATGAGATTCCGCAACCTGATTTGGCTTCTTGGAATTCGGCCATTTCCATGAATGTGAAATGGGGTCTTGTTGATACTGCCAAACATCTATTTGATTTGATGCCCAAAAGAAACGTGATCTCCTGGAGTTGTATGATAAATGGGTATGTGCAGTGTGGAAAATATAAAGAAGCTCTTGCATTATTTCGAGAGATGCAGATGTTAGAAGTAGACAATGTCAGGCCAAATGAATTCACAATGTCTAGCGTTCTTTTGGCTTGTGGGCGGCTAGGTGCTCTTGAGCATGGGAAATGGGCCCATGCTTATATAGAGAAATGCGGAATGGAAATCGATGTGATCTTAGGTACCTCATTGATAGATATGTACGCAAAATGTGGCAGTATCGAGCGTGCAAGGTGGGTATTTATCAATTTGGGACCTAATAAGGATGTGATGGCCTGGAGTGCTATGATTTCAGGTCTGGCAATCCACGGTTATGGTGAAGAGTGCCTTGATTTACTCTCAAAGATGCAAGACCTTGGGGTGAGACCCAATGCAGTAACATTCTTGGGTGTTTTATGTGCCTGTGTACATGGAGGCCTGGTGAACGAGGGGAAAAAGTATTTCCAGATGATGACTGATGAATTTGGTATTACTCCTCTGATCCAACACTACGGTTGCATGGTGGACCTTTATGGGAGAGCTGGTCTCATAGAAGAGGCATGGGGTGTTGTAAAATTTATGCCCATGAAACCTGATGTGCTTGTGTGGGGAGCTCTTCTCAGTGGATCTAGAATGCATGGGGACATCAAAACATGTGAGCTTGCTCTCAAACAACTTATTGAATTAGAACCCACAAATAGTGGAGCCTATGTGCTTCTATCAAATGTCTATGCAAAGATGGGTAGGTGGGAGGACGTGAGAGATGTAAGAAAAATAATGGAAGCAAAAGGGATCAAGAAACTGCCTGGATGTAGCTTGGTTGAAATTGGGGGTGTTCTACATGAGTTTTTTGTGAGAGATGAATCACACCCTGAGACACAAGAGATCTATTTGATGCTCGAGGAGATCATGAAAAGGTTGAAGATGGGGGGATATGTAGGAAACACTAGGGAGGTTTTGCTTGACTTGGATGACGAAGGAAAGGAGGTGGCCCTTGCCCTTCATAGTGAGAAGTTGGCCATTGCCTTTAGCTTTTTGAAAACAAGCCCAGGTACACCAATACGTATTGTTAAGAATCTTAGAATATGTACCGATTGTCATGATGCCATAAAGATGATGGCCAAGGTTTTCAATCGAGAAATAGTTGTTAGGGACTGCAATCGATTTCACCATTTCATATATGGTTCATGTTCCTGTAAAGATTATTGGTGATCCCATCCTTAGGGAAGGAGGAAGGGGACACATACAGTAATATTTAGCACCATTTCACTCTCAGCTTGATAGGTTGTTGTAATTTATTTGGGTTACATGGATTAGTTGAATGACTCTTTGAGCCTGAAGTTATGAAGTGGAGGGATGGGAAAGAAATCTCTTTTCAAGCAATCACAATTAGAGGATAACTCCAGAATACACAATTTGATGTTGTCTTCAACAAATGACCATGACAAAATTGGTGGAGATGTTATAAAATCTTTCTGGTGGTATAAGTTTATAATAGAAGTACACAAGCAAGGTTAATCTGTACAGGTCAACTGATCAAGTCCCAAAAGGGGGTCAAATTTCACTATTCATTATTTATGCATTCCTGTATGGGTTAGGATGTAATAAGTGTCAGAGATGGAAACCTTGTCCATGTTGATGGGAAATGATTTAAACCATCACATCTATAAAATAGCCCCTTTCTTGTCTTACAGATAAATACCTATTCAGGGTGTACAGCTTTCAGAAAAGAATCAAGGAGCCTGTTTTATCCACCCCTTTTGTTGTATGATCTTCATCTCTTTTTTTAGTTTATTTCATTCTCTTGCTAGAGTTGTAGTTCTATACATCAATGCTTCAGATGATTTATTCTAAAATAGATGATTGATGTAGGTACATTCGGCTGGCCTGTACAAGACTGACGTGTGTCGAATAGAGGATGCCCACATAGGTTTACCATGAGGACGCTCAGGGTTACCTGACGCAGACCAGGCGGAACCAATCCCAAGGCGTCGTGTGGCTCTAGTAGAACATCTCACCAGGCCCTCGTACGGTTCGCATCTGGACCATCCGAGCCTAACTACCCCTTGGCAGCTCCGGCTATAAATGCAAGGCACCCCCCACAAGGTAAGGGATTCGATTCAAAAACCTTTGTGATCTCTAGTGCTCTCTCCACTAAGGACTTAGCGCTATTTGAGACCTTGTCTGGACCCCTCGGCTCCAGACTCATCAGACTCATCACTTACCTTGCGCACATACTAACTTGATCATCGGAGTCCTTGCCTCGGGTCATCACTCGAGGCCTCTGACACCTTCTCCTAGAGGTGTAAAGCGGGTCGGGCCCCCCGCGGCCCGGCACGGCACGAAGGCTAACAGGTCGTGCTAGGCCCGGCACGGAGGTCCATGCCAGGCTGAGCCGGGGGTTCGAGGCCCATGGGTCGGCACAGCACGGCACGACCCGCCAGGCCCGTAACGTGCCGCGCTTGGCCCACTCGGGAATA